ACTCCTAGTGGGATGCGACACTAATTCACACCACATATTCTAGGGGAGCTCAAACTTCAAGACCAGAAGAGAGTACCTTTTTGAATTCTTACTTGAAATGAACTTCGATATTTAGAGTAAAAAGAAACTTCCGCATCTGTTACAAAGACAAGGGGGAAGTACTAAACATCACATTTGGTAGTTGTGAAATAACGAACTTTCCCTGTCTGGTCACAGACTCAAGAGAAATCCCATGGGAGCAATGAGAAAGCGAACCAATTGGCGAAATAAGGAGCAGAAACTTTGCTTCCAGGACCACAGCCTTTCTGTAGCATAGCGACGCACACCTATAAGGAAGCGTTCAGAAAGGAAAAGCGGACCAAATGGATTAGTCTCTGGGAAGAGCTTCAAGGGTTAGGGCAATCAAAAATGTTTCTCGGACCCCCTTACCAAGGAAGGTCACAAGACCTTATATCACTGTATAGAAACAATGTTCACATTCTTACTTTACTGGATTCCTTACAAGCCACTGCCGGTTGAGAGGGCCTGCTTGAGAGAATTAAAATCGAAAACGAGAACAGCTGGCGGTTCTGTGAGAAAGGAAAGGAAACTCCAAAACACCTTCTCATGGAGTGCGAGGCGATCGTGAACATACAAATGACCTGCTTGGGATGCCGCATCGTTGGACGGGAAGAAATTCCATCCATAGAACCATTCAACCTACTTGTTTTCATAATAGCTTTGAAGTTGGATGAGGTGCTCTAAGTGAGAATCCTATCAACTGAAGCACCCAGAAGGGAGACATATCTATGTAGGTCGCAGTGTAACAATACCCACAATTCTTGAGAAGCTTCTTCTTCGATTTGGTTTCTTAAATTGAATTTAGTCCGTTCATAGTATAATAGTTTTCCTGAACTATACACATCATCAAAAGTCTTGGCCTCCCTAAGTATTTTCACAGGTAATTAAATTGAATTTTAAAAACATGGTGACTTTTATTTTATTAAAAAAATGTGGCAACAAGTCTAAATTAGATTTTTTTTTTTTCTCGAAAAAAAGTAAATCTGGTAACAAAAACATAACTTAATAGTCTGTATGATCGCCTCTTCTTTCGAAAAATTGTCCAACGCGTCTCGGCATCCTGCAAATCAGCTTTGGCATATTGTTTCATTCTTCTCGACCAGAAACAGTTAATTCCTGCAGGATCGCAGGAGGATTTTATCGATTGGATATTGCTCTGCCAAGATAATCCCATACATTTTTGATGGGATTTATGTCGGGGGAATTTTCTGGCCAGTTCATTCTTTGAATATTTTCTTCCTGAAGCATATTTTGTAACCCCTTTTGTTAATGAATTAACGGGGGGGCCCATAATATGCTCGGTTTGCTCAGCGAATAATTATTAGGGGTGGGTTGATAGTTTAATAGGTACAGAATGGCAAGGGCGCCACGGAATTTTAAAAAAAAATTAAATAAATTACATAAAATATTGGGAAGTGAAAATTCAGAAGCACATCTAGAAAATTATCAGCAAACGGTAATTGGTAATTCTGAAAAGGAAATAAATAAGGCACATAACTCAACTAAATACTGACACAGATAAACCGATAAAACAATTGAGTAAGTTTCAAATTAAATTAGCTTATATCTCACAGCGAGTTCAAAAATCAAGTATTGAATAATTTCAAAGTATAATAGTAGATTATAACACGAGTCAATAATGATAGCTATTATTCCCGAGAAATATTTACGAACTGAGCCGGAGGGAGTAACATTCCGAGGGAATAATAGCCATTATTGCGAGTAGTATACTCTACTTTATTTACGACAAATTAATTTATCTTAAATTTTCTTTCCAAAAACTCTCTTTGTTCATCCATCTCAATACAAATACACAAGCACTACGTGTTTGACAATGACACTTTTGAGTTTGTTCAGGTATATTGTTTCCATGGTACTACTTATTTAATTTGATAAATTTTGTGATTGGTGGGCAAGCGGGAATAATGACCATTTTTCCCTGCTGGAATAATATATGGCATTATACTGCCAAAATCACAAATATAATATTCACATTATATGTCAGTCGTAAATAAAATCAATTATTGTTTGTAAAACACTTTAAGTTCAAATCAATAAAAATAGGTTAACTTTCAATCAAATTCATCAAGCTCAAAAAAAAAATATATATATAATAATGCACTGTTATTATATTTAATATACTTGTCATATAAATTCATCAACAGTCGCTGGCCATATCATTATCATGAAATGCAAATATAAAAGATTTAAGTTTCCAGAAAACTGATTGAAAAATTGTATTGATAAAGATGGTCATGGCAATATCGTTTTGAAAATAGTATATTGTTTAACGAGTGACGAAAACAGCATTTTTTGCAACGAGAAAACAGTTTACCAAACGAGGCGTAGCCGAGTTTGGTAATGTTTTCGAGTTGCAAAAAATTATATTTGACGAGTAAAACACTATACTTTTTTTGTGACCATGTTATAATAAAACATCCTTCGGACAAGTTATTCAATTTTATAAATATTTTTGCTTTTATTTGATTATACTAAAGCAAAATTCACACAATTGCGTGTTGAATTAGGTTTTTTTACTTTGTTTTATAGAATTAAATTATAAGTAAATTTGAAGGAATGTAATGTATTTAAAATTGTAATAATTTATTTTCGTTACTAGTAACGAAAGTTACCGTTAATGGTCATAGCAAAACGTTTTTTTTTTTTTTTTTATGTCGGAAAAACATTTTTCTTGATCTAGAATCCATAAAAATTCGCATCCTGGATTTGCAACAATTATTTTGAAGAAGAAGAAGTTTTATGTGAATATTTTAAAAATTTGGTACTTTAATTATTTAATCCTAAATACCTTCTAACAGTTCTAACATTTGAAACGGTTTTAGGCTTTAGAAATATTATAATTTCTTCCACATGATCTTTGTTTGGTTCAAATTCCTTATCACTGACTGATAATTTATTTTATTCACACCAAAAAACATTTTTCCATATTCAAAGTAATTCCATATTCATTTATTGAAGTATTTATTACTTCTATTAAATTTTGAATTGATCATGTTCTTGTCTATTTCTTCCACCAATTAAAATATCATCCGCATGCACGGTTACATAATTAACTGCACAGCCGTTTATAATATAATTTGAGGTTTTTTGGAAAATTTCTGACAAGCTTCATATTCCAAAAGGACGGACAAGTTTTATAGGCATGTCTACCGAAAGGACCTATAAAAGTTGTTAAAATATTTGAAGATTCAGAAAGTTTTAACTGGTGGAGACCTTTGGAACAATCTAATTTTGTAATCAATGTACTATTCTCTATTTTGGCTAACGTCTCCTCAGCTGATGGTAAATTGCTTTCTCAACAAAATATTAACTTTTACCTATTTTTAAATTTATTGAGGATTAAATCGTTAAAAATTGATCAATATTTCACCTGGGTTTTTTTCCACCTATATACTAGGGGATTTTTGTTATATTTCCTGTATACTTCCACCATATAACCTAACCTTTGATTTTATACAGTTTTAATTTGATTTTATTGATTTTTTTTTATAAGCAAAGGCTGGTCATACCTATCCATAAAACATTACAATTTTCTGGAACAAACTTAAAGCTTCCATGTTCTAATGTTCTCATTTATTGTTCAAGTTGATGATATGGCTAGCGACTATTAAGTAAACTTATGTGGCAACCGTACCAGTGTATATTGTAATTTTTTTTTTTGAGTTTGGTGGATCCAACCTCTATCCACTGATTTTATTTAGAGTGCAGTAGAACTAGCATTTTTTTTTTCTAAATTTGACTGCTTGATTGATTATTCTCCTTGCCGTGAATCTGATATACTATTTTAATTTGACGATTATTTGGTTGTTTTGATGGTTTTTCCTATGACAAGATTTGGTTGAGTTGTATGCCTTATTTATTTATTTTTCAGAATTATTAGTTACCTGTAGCGAATTATTTTTTCCTGAATTTTCACACAATATTTCACGTAAATTAATTATTTATTTATTTATTTTTACATATTTAGTGGCGTCCTTTCCATGCTATTGACCCACCCCTAATAATTATTCGTTGAGCAAACTGAGCATATAATGGACCTCTGTTAATTCGTTAACAAAAGAGGTTACAATACCATTAAAGAAGACAAATAGTGAATTATCCAAGCTCTGACAGATAGTAGAGACAGATCTTTAGTTACTTTTCCCTATTCTAATATCTAGTAGTATAGTAGCAGCCATAGATATTCGAGATTCCTACAAAAAATTATTTCTTTGTCGACGATGCCCCGGGATAAAGCAAAAACTCCACAGATGACGGTTGAGAATCCATTTAGTCAAAGAACATCAATTAAATTCATTTTGCCTATAGTAATATTGTATTATTCTGGAAAGAGAAATAAATAGAAAATCACAAGTTTTAACAATCCACATTTCGCTCAGCTAAATCTAATATAAGTTTAATCAGACAAAAACACTAAATTCTGGAACAGAACTTTAAAACAAACACGGTCCTACGTCGGCTAACAATAGCGAATTTTGCTAATGGTTAGAGTGCAGGCAATTTTCACCAGATAGTAATAGTGTTTATGAAGGATAATTTTAAATTAGTTCTGTGTTAGGCGTGTACGAGCAGGGGATTTTCGTTATTAAGTTTTCTCGAATTACATTTCCATTAGCTACGCCTTTTGAATGTTACTACTTTTAAATTGGAGTTTTGAATGCGATCGCTTTACAAAAATCATAGGATTTACTGTGGAAAATTCGTGTTTCGAAGTATTGACGTTGTTATTGGAAATACCTCTCGCTAAATTTATTGTTTGTGAAACGTTTTCAAAAATGTTTGATTTAAACTCGGCTAGAGTAGATTATTTTCGTGGGTATATATGTATGTTAATTCAAAAATGATTAAATAGTAAAGCTGATCGGATTTAGTGGTAATAACAAACATGTTATTTTATATGCAATAATTTTGATACTTACCGTTTCCGTTAGATGGTCATATCAGGCTTTCTGTAACAAAATTAAGCCAATTAGTAAAAACTTAATAAAAATCAAACAATTAACAGGTACAAAAATCGGCATTCAGCTTCTAATTCAATCCAGGAAAGGGTTTCTTAAATTGAGTTTTTTATTCATATTTTCTAAGTAATCGGAAACTGTAATTACGATTTTGCCTGACTAATGTTTCAGATCCGAGGTCGTCAATACAAAATTGTGTACAAAGATAATTAGTAATCCTATGAACATTATTCAACTGAAACATTTAATTTCTTTCACTTTTTTATTCCAAAGACTTCTTTTTTTAGATGAAATCCAAGTTAAGACTATGATAACTGAATTATGTGATGTCATCTGAGATTTTTTCTATTTGTTTGTTAACTTATTTTTCATGTGCTGAAATTATTCAATGCACTGACATCTTTGATGATTATAGCGTGAAGTCCAGGAAAAATTGAGAAGCAACTCTCTTTTTTGCTTCTTTCTGCATATTATTATCATTAATTAACCAGGAAGGGCGCCAATTTATTATATTCTTTTAACAAAACCCTAATAATATCAGTTTAATAAAAATATTTAGAAGGGAAAGAGAGGTTAAATAGGCAGGGGTAACTAGGGGTGTATGAGTTACCTATGTGAGGGGGTGGCAGTTCAAAAAAACAGAAAGGGTACCTCCGTTTTCAGTTCAGCCTACTAGCTTTCACTGCGGAGAGGGGTGTGAGTAATTAAAATCAGAAATGAGCGCGTCCTGCTTTAGTGCCCTACAGTTAAATGGAGTCCCTGATGATCGGAAAACAGGAAATCTCTGAGGCCAACTAATACTGCACCGACCTAAAACTTCCAATAGGAAATAACAAAATAATAGCCTGAAATTCAAATAACTCTCTTATTATTAAATTCAAAATATAATGTACAATAGTTCGACCCTGATAAGTAAATAATGTAAATAAAGCTAGCAAAACTAAATATCTACCTACACAGAAATATGAAAACAGTCTTAAAGTTCCCAAACCTTACCTTACATTCTGGTTCATTATGGTGATCAAAAGTTATAATTAATTTCGTAATTACATTCATTGAGTTCAAATAAGTGAAGGGTAATAATTAAGTAGGTTCGCGCCCCTTAAATCAATACCAAAATACTGAAAATACCGTTGTAAATAGATCTATTTAAATTTGGTGTACAGAACCAATCATTGCGGATTGTGAGTGTTAAACGTGTGTTTACACTAATTTGGACTACTTGGAATGTTCCAGGAAATCAAAATAATATGGTAAGTAAACGTAAAATTAACTTAATTTAAACCTAAAGGATCATAAGGTAATTTTTAAGACAGGTAGTGGTAATTCAACTGGCTATAATATTGAAGAGTAGGTACAAGTGGTTGCAGGTGAAGGGCTCGAGCTCCCAAGGAGATGGTGAAACCCTAAATACAGACGGGGTGGATGGTTCCCGAAACGGCACAACAATACGCAAACCTGATTATGTAGTTATTTGATGGAGTGATACTACTAAGAACCTCTTGGGGGACGATTGAGATTCATAGACCCCAAAAGCTCCACAAGCAATCTATCAGGTTCAGGATTGAGCATCAGCAATTCAGCAATCAGGTGCCTTTGTGCAGCTAACGACAGCAACAGCAGAAAGGGATGTAACGTTACCCAATATAAAAAGGCCTAAAAGAGAGAGTTCACACTAAAATACTCAATTTCAACAAGAATTGAGGTTAAGTACGGCAATCAATTAAGTTTTTGATGACATAAAACTCTAACAGGGATCAGAATACAAAATAAAATGATGAATAATTGGCCTTTTCGACACTCAACACGTGACACGAATCAAACTTATTTTCCAGAATTTGGGTTTTTACGTACTGAAATCTTGTTAAATTAGCAAATACTTGCAGTGGTGTTATATAAGAATAATAACCACCGTTTAAGATTCAATTACTTCCCAAATATTCACTCAAATTGGCAAAATGCCTCAGAAGAAAGCTATAACGTGGCTTCTCTTCTGCGTGATTTTAGAAAAAGAAAAATTTTTGGTTACACGAATCGAATTCTAGGGAATTTTTCGTTTATTTTTGGACAGTTTCAATTAATGCATATAGCGCATTCAACACTCAATATTCAAAAATCTCTGACTTTAGTTCATTGTCTGATTTAAACAATTTCCTAACCCTACTAATATTTGTTTACATTTTCCTATTCTAATCCTATCTAAATTTTCATATTATTTTAGGCTGGAAACCTGATGTTTTCAATGTTGCACAATGGAAACCTCTGCAAAACTAGGGAAAACAAATGCTGATTTACCTGATTCCTACAGAACAGAATACAGCACAGAAAACTATATAGTAAAAACTCAAAAAAATGGTAATCATTTTGCTTTATACGATATTATCTTATCGCAAATCAATCTTATTTTCAGAGATCGCCAGAAGCGGTGGATATCTTCATGGAGAATAATTATTGTAACTGTTATGTGAAATATATATTAAAGATTTTATACTATTAGTTTCCTTTTTTTAATGCTAGGCAAAATCAGGCAAGTACAGAGTAGTAAAAGACCAAAGGCAGCAAAAATATGTCGAACAATCTCCTAACTTGATTGACTGAAAATTATACACGTAACAATATCCGAAATGGTAAATTATGCGTCGTCCATTTTGGATTGAAGCTTGGCGTTGAAATCCCCCATGAAGATCATTATAGTGTAGGAATCTCTTAAAATTACGACTTTTAACAAACCTCAATCAAAACAATATTAATCCGAGAACGAAACTCTAAAAGTATCAAGTAAATGCCGATACAGATGAAAGTATTTTGAAAACCTACCATAAGCTTGCCAGGTGAGTATTATTTATTTTATTTTTCATTTTCTTGTGCCAAAAACTTTGTTGGGAACATGACACCGTAACTCACTCTAAATATCGACTTTCGTATCTACCGACTCCAATTATTATTTTATTCCAAAAGCTCGGTTTTGGAGTGCATAAGTTTAATAAAATAGGAACAATATATTTCTTCAAACAAAAATGTTCTGGATATAATAGCTCCAACTAAGTCTGAAACTTAAAAAACAAATTTATACATTATAAATGCTGCGATGGCACTAATTTGTTATACATTGTAATTGGATACAATAATATTACCGATCGAGTAAAATGCTGACATAATAAATTTCATCTAATTGACATGCAGTTTTTCAGCGAATTTAATCGATAAGCGTAATTTATTGACGTCATATCCGGTTCATTTGAATTGTTTAGTAGTTTAGTGCAAACCCTTTGTTATTTAACTTGCAACTGGGACATATACATATAAACACAATAGGGAGTCACTTGCATATTTATATGTTTACCATGTTTGCTTCCAATAAATATTTTGCTGGGAGAAATTCTAGCTAACACAGATGTAAAGGGTTGTCCCAAAATGGACTAACATTTTTAACAGTGGACATTAATATGGAATTGAAATTGTAAAAAATCACTTTAAATGTGTTGATAGTTCTGGCAATACCGTGGCAAACTTAATCAATTTTAAGATCGGACTTTGGATAGATCGTTACTGTTGTGGAAACAACCAAACAATCGTATTTATTTTTTATGATCACAGTGGCAACGTTACAAAAAAGCCCCCCGCCGTGAAAGCTGGATGGCCGCTGGCGCCGTACCAGGCTGTACTGGATCGATCCAGTCGGTTTGTTGTCGCTAAGGGAAAAAATGCATTCCTTCTCTTTTTCACTTCGCAGTGTGATTTGTGATTTTAGTAGTGTGGTTTCACTAGCAGTAAATAGTGCGTAAAAACGTCTAGCTCTATACAAGTTTGAACCTGCTCACTTTTCTCTAATTATTTAATTATTCTCTCTAGTTGCACCCTTGTGCAGTCTCTCTCTCGCTCTCTAAATAAAAATACTTATTTCTTTATCTCTCTGGCTGCTGGCTTGAAAACTCAAGTGATATAATATCGCGTAAAACATTGAGTTAATCACACTCCCCTTTTTTAAGGGCTCTCTAAAAATATAAAAACTCTCAACTCCCGAAGATTTCTATTAAGAATAAACTTTATCTTGTGCTCTTAATTAAAATATTAGCGTTCCGCTAATACTGACAATTATTGTTAACTTGACTAATGAGCACTTACAACTAGTGAATTTATACCGATTAGTGAATGTTCTCGAATAACTCAAATGCGACTTGTTAACTAACCAGTGAATAATTAATAGTACTTGAATGTGGTTTCAGTATTTATTACTTTATTAAACGATTATTTTGGCAACAATAGAGAGATATAAAACTGGAAGTGTGAGTGCATTATTTAGCAGTGACATTCCCATCCCCTTTATGATCCAGTGATCTATCTCTAAATTAAATGTTGACACCTCAGTTAGAGGCCCTAACAGTTACTACTCTGAAAATGAGAATAAAAATATGGTAACCATCAACTGAATTGAATATTGTGAGATGATACCAATTTTGTAAAGCATGAAATCGATGGTATGAATGTAAAATACATGTAAACTACTAGAATTTAAACCCAGTATTAGTCGTGATTATGTACTCAACGACAACGTCAACTTTGGTGTTTGTTCTAACAAAATTATTTTGTGTTTTATCTTTTTGAGGTCAGCAATATTTTTTAACAAAGAAAGAATCTATGTCAGGTCTATCAATCCACTCCAACATTTCTAGGTATACGACTTTTTTAAATTAAAAGAAGAAGAAAATGATATATGGAATTTACTTGGTTTTGAAAAAATATAGCTTCATGTAAATTGGAAATATATATCTAATCAAATAAATATCGGTTATACCGGGTGTTTTTCAAAACCCGCTCACCCCTATAACTTTTTAATTTTTCCAAATAAACAAATGAAATTTAGTGTGTTTATTTATGAGCCGGATGTGCATTATTTGACGTATTCAATTATTTATTATCACTTCTGGTTTGACCGGAAGTGACCGTAACTTTCTTATTTCAAATAAGACGTCAGGTATATTTTCCCTTAT